TGCAAACAAATTTAAGAGAAGCATGTAAAATTGAAAAAAGTTATAATGCATAAAACTTATTTCGAGGTTGAAATATCGTATTACTATTTTTCTGCTAAACTTGTAGTAAAAGCCCTACTCCATAAAAGTCTCTCAGACCCATATCAATCCAGGTTTAACTCAATCCCTCTCGTTGGTCTACACGGCATAAGACCTAATCAGTTCAATAACACTTCACTATCAATGTCAATCCGGACACGATCTCTAAACCATAAAATATAAATTACAATATGGACACAATTTCTGAACTATTAGCTATCAATATCAATCCAGTCACAATCTCAATACCATAAACTATAAATGTCAATTACAGACACAATATCTGAACCATAAACTATCAATGTCAATCTGGACACAATCTCTGAACCATAAATTATCAATGTCAATCTGGACACAATCTCTGAACCATAAACTATCAATGTCAATCTGGACATGATCTCTGAACCATAATCTATCAATGTCAATCTGGACACAATCTTTGAAGCATAAATTATCAATGTCAATCTGGATGCCCTCTCTGAACCATAAACTATCAATCTCAATCCGGACAATATCTTTGAACCATGAACTATCAATGTCAATCCAGACACAATTTCTGAACCATAAACTATCAATGTCAATATGGACATGATTTATCTAAACAATGTCTATGTCTATATTTCAAGAAGTGAGTTTGGGGCGTTTCCCATTTGCTAAATGAGGAACAATTACTTCTCTCACATAATCAAAGCGGAGTCTATTCCAACTAGACGTATTTGTAGTTCTGTGTTAAAGTTAAAGTTAATCAACGTAATTACAAGTTTAGTATGTTATATACAAACATAATTAAGCTAATCATGTTACCTAGTTATTTACAGTGCAGTTAAGATATCTCATTATAGGATTTTTACATAGCTTTTTGCAAACTAAGATAATTAATAATGTACAACGTAGTTTAGGTTTACAGATATAGGTTTACAGATCTAGGGTTACACGATATTCATTACAAACTATCTTTAAAATCAACTTGTTAAATTTCTATAAAACTAACTTCTACTTCCTAATATTTCAATCAAAAATGCTCACAAAAAACTCGGTCACCTTTTTATACGCCCCTTAATTAATAATGACGTATTTGTGGCTCCATTTTGATTTTCCCCTCTACATCTTTGGCCTCTCTTTCTGCAGTTTTAAAAACTCTCTTTATTGCATTCGAGGGCATTGTTACGTTTTGATAATTTCTAAAAATTATTCCTACTCGTTCAGAAAGTACAGATAGTGTTAAATAAAAAAAATGGGGTGATTTATGACATAAGAGAAAAGTAACTCTTTGAAGGTAAAAAGAAGCTAGACAAGATATTATTTTACAACAGGTTTTTTTTTAAAATCCCCGTAAACCCATAGATTTTACAAATCCATGGCGCACAGCCTTCCCCCATTTTGAATATTGTTCAAATTTAAGCTACATTATAAAAAGACCATTTTTTAAATAATAAAATTTAAAAAATGTATTTGTTTTTAACAGTTTTTTGTTTTGTTCAAACTAATGTTGTTTTGTTTAAACTAATTAGCATTGTTGGAGAGGATTGAGTTGACGTAGAAGAGTAATAAATGTATACATATGATAAATGTGAGGTCATGGAGATTCTGGGAAAGTGGAGTTGAGGATTCCAATTTTCATAAAGATTTCAGCATCCCCCTCCCATTCCCCCTGGAAAAAATTCCCATATAATATTCCTGTAAATATGTTCTGCAAAAAAATCTATTTACAGAAACTTTTTTTGCAACGAAGATATTCAAAGTACTCTGATAATTTTCTTTTTTTGTGATTTCCATTTTAAAATTTTGTATTGAATATATTCCAAACTGTCAAAACATCATGAAAATGTGACATCTTATTTGTCTTAATCTTAATTGAAAACTGTTCAAAATACTATTTATGACAGTACAATTAGCATTTTTTAAAGGGACTGTAAAGGAAAAATAAAAAGGGGTATAGGCTGAAACCTATATATCTTAGGAGTTGATCGAAACCCTTGCAAGTTCTATCAGATGTTCCTTGAAATTGATTTAAAAAAACTATGTAAAATTTATACAAAAATCGGTGTTTACCAAATTTTGTATAAAAATAAACAGATCATATTCAGCAGATACGCAACCAATCTGAAAACAAAGATATCCCTTATGGAGCTTAAGTAACTTAGGTTTGCTCCTATTATTATTTTAATTTAATAATTTTCATTTTTATTAGATTTAATTGATAATCATTATACATAATTATATATAAAATTATTATTACGTCCGTATCACTTGACCAGAACTCCATCCAATGGTACTATATTGGTCACATGATACAGACGGAGATACATGATAATAGTACCCCCTTTCTTTTTTCCTTTACAGTCCCTTTAAGAACACATTATTTTGTTTTTAAACCCAATTTTTACCCCCCC